AGAGAGAGAGAGAGAGAGAGAGAGAGAGAGAGAGAGAGAGAGAGGGAGAGAGAGAGAGAGCGCACAAACAGAATATAGATTTCCCTTTTCTAACATCTAGGCATGTCTGATGGCTAAAGTGCTGTTCCTCAACGAAAGGCAGGGCCCCAGGCTACAGATCAGGGTATGCAAGAAGTTCCAAATCCCATCCTGCTATCTCCAAGTAGCACTGGAAAAATCCCTGGCCTAAAACACTAAGCCAAGTATAAGCACGCTGATGCTTTCCAGCTATTTTAGGCTGCAACTCCTACAGTCCCTGACCACTGGGCATGCTGACTGGGCTTTTAGGAATGGTAGTCCCAAACAGGTTAAGCTGCTGGTTGGCAAAAGCAATAATGATGGATCAATGGCCATGACCATAAGGCAGGTTCCAACATGCCTAAGATGCTCACACAAGCAGGACCCCTTCCCTTTACTCTAGTTTCTCTCTCCAAAGGCGCATGTTTGCCCCCCACTGAAGCTGCTCTTTGAATTCCCCATGCTCAAATGCTATTGAGGATTAAGTATTCAAAGGCTGGCTAAGTGAGAAACTATGATATTCTGCATACCCATCTTTCATGTACCTCTGTGATTCTCCCTTGGAACAGACTTTGAGCTCCAACAACAATCTGGTTTTGGACACAAGACAGCTTAAAGAGCAGTTCTGCCACTGGTTGTCCTGCATACTGCAAGATCTCACAATATGCTAAGAATTATTATCTTTGCCTTTTCTGGGTTCCTCAAGGCAAGGGACTTTAGCTATTAACATTCCTTTTATGAGCAATTTTATTCCCTTAAACCTCTACTTTCAATAATGCAACTTCTTCTGTAGCTATTTCTCCATAAACAGTCTCCTAAGCATCAATCTTTGGAGGTTCTCTACTCCCCTGCCTTCCTTTATCATCACTCTCTCACCTTTCCACAACCACTATGTATGTGGTTTAACAGTGCTACATGCGCACGGCAACAAGGAGCCAGCAGCAACCAAGAGCAAATGATGCACAGAATAGGTGACACAAAGGACCAACCCATCCCAATATAATTGGGCCAACACTTTCCAAGAGACAAGCTTCTCTACACAGATAACAGTGAGTCTTTGGCACCTTCATCCGCTTTTGTCTTTGCTGCTACAGTCTAATATAGCTAGTCCTGGAAAAGAACCAGTAGAGTTGTAAATACTTGCTGAGAAAGAAGCATATTCCTTCCTGAAGCCCCTGCCTTCAGTTCTGCATGGAACTTCCTGTTTTTGCAGAGGTATCCTCAGGTCCTTTCCTGGGAGAATTTAATCCCACCCCTCCCCCATTCCATTTCCCATTGGGCTGATTTCTTTGTCTTGGTGATTTCCAAACAAAATGAACTCAGATTGATAATTTAAACTCAGTTCTGTATTTGGCAAACCATACTGCCCTAAATGGTGATCTGAGCCTAGTATCCAACCTTGCCCCTGTAACCTCCACTGTGATTGTGCTATGCCAGCAGTACCCACCAGCAGGAAACTGATGCTTCTTAGAGGAACCCCTGAAATGAGCCAGTTTCTCATTTCTGCAACTGAACAGGTCAAGCAGTGCTCAGAGAAAGGGGACCACTGACATGTTCCAGAAAGAAATGGCTTGGCTCATTTCTGAGATTGCTTTAGGAAGCACTAACTCCTGTTCTACTGTTGGTGGGTCCCTACTGGTACATGGACAGTGTGGAAACCATCATCCTAACAGTGACACTGGTCTCTTCCTTCACAGAGAATCAAGAGGCATAAGAGGCTACTTGCTTATATTTATCTCCTTTTGCACCCTTTTTGGCCTCAGAATCTCAGGCTGCTCTGTGCTGCTGCCCAAACGGGGAGTCAGAAATAGTCTCTAGACTGCTTTGGCAGCACCAACATCCTCTTTAAGTTTATTAAGGTTTAAAGTTCTCATTCTGAGCATGTCCCAGTGAAGCTCTGATGATGCAACTGTACAGTGTGCTATTTTATGGAAACAACTCCCTCTTCACATAAAAACAACACATCCACCCATCAAACTGATGGCAAAATCAAAGGTAAAAGGACAAATGTCACAGATGCAGTTTAACTATTCAACCCACTCAGAACAGTAGCTATGAACATGAGCAGGAACCCATTTTGCAAATAGGTAAACTTGAGTTCAGTGTGCACTGCTGACTCTCCCATGAGATAAGGCTCAAATGGTCACAGTCCTTCAATGAAGTCTTAAGCAATGGCAAGCAGGGCCCGTCACATCCAAAATTTACCAGTCTGTGAATCTGCCTAATGGGTACCTTAAGAAGCTGAGACCTGAGCTACATGTATGGCCGAACAAAGTGATCTAATCCTCAGGTGGGAGAGTGGACTGTTATCACTGCAGGGCACAAGCAGGAGATATCTTTACATGTTTCCCCATGTCCATTATTTTCACAAATATAAAAGAACTTATCATACTTATCAGGGAAAAGAGTCTAAGGCAGCTTTTCTCTCACTGCTATGCCAATTTTCTATTTGCAGGGACAGTGTTTCATAAGGAGCACTGAAAAAGAAGGCATATAGAATCCAACACCGTTGTGTGTCCAGCTGAGTTCACACAGAACCAGTAAGTTACCCGACAGCTCTCTAAGTGAACATGAAATTTGGAAAAAGGTTTACTGCTCCTTAGGCCATGCAGGGTCACATATCACTGAGGACCTTTGCAAACAGTCCCCATGTCTCTGGAGCTGTCTAGAGCATCTTAAGTAGCAATAATCCCAAGCGTTGGGTAGGCCAGATGGTTAATGAATGAACTCTGAAAGCAGATCCGATCAAACTGAAGACCTCGTGACCTGCTGACACTAAATGCTCTCTCTAGCCATCCTTGCAGATAAATGTGCATACAGCAAACTGGCTGAATGAACTGCAAGGCAGCTTAGATAATGCCCATGGACGGAAACCCGGCTTCCTTCAAGTGGATAAATTCCTTGTTACATCATTTCCTTCTACTAAGAATAACTTCATCATGATTTTGAGTGCTGAGCTGGTGTCAAGCAGGCATCCTCTTCTGCCAGAGGAAGTTGACCTGCTGGGAAAGTGAGGCAGCTTTCCTTTCAGAAGCTGCCAAGGAGCTGGCTTGATGCCATATCCTGATAAGTCGCCAGGATGTAGCCATTGTCCAAATCTTAGATGAAGACGCTTTCTCCTTACTCTTCCTGGATCACTCTCACTGCCCAGTTGTGAAAGAACAGAAGCATGGGACATTATTAGCACACAGGAGGGAAGTAGCAGCTCTCTGTGGTTGTGTAAGTCAAGTATTAACACTCTCAGTCCCAGAGGCAGAAGCCAACTAGAAATACCCAAGGGAACCACTGACCCTTCCCGTTCTTAGCACTGGGGATTCCAAGGGCAATACTGGATTGTTCCACAGCTGCACAGCAAAAAGACTAGAGGGTATCTCAAGTGCAGCTGTGGGATCAAGAAACAAACTGGGGAAGAACCACTGCCTAATGTAGTCAGTGCCTACAGACTGAGAAACCTCCCTACCCCACCCAGCCTTTCTTCTTAGTCATAGAGACAAACAGCTGTAGCCGAAAGCTGGAAATATGGTCAATGGGAACAATGCTGCAAGCAGCTGCACAGCACCCAATACAGGCACTGGTACTAAACCTAAGAACACTGGTCAGAGAACCCCTAGCTCAGGTCCATTTCTCTCTTCTGGTACTCTTTTCCTGCGATGAAAAACAGTTGTGCTCCCTGCTGCCTTTGCAATGTTCCCTCCCTTTATGGGTACAGAACAGCATCACACACTACTCTCCAGTCTGATTTTGAAATGAATTCCAGGAACCTATACAGGAGAGCAAGACTGACTTGCGTGACATGTCCTATCACAAGCGCAGGGACAGATCCGTGTAACTTCAGTTCACAGCAAACCAAGGCATCATGCAAGTGAGGATGACTAACATTCTTCATGCTCAAACAGACAAACTCTTTCCCCACTTATGAACAATTAGTAAAACCCAGAAATGCTTCTCAGGCAAGCAAAGCAGCAACCACCTTGCATGTGCCAAAAAGGAAGGTGCATGGAAGTGAAGGGAATTCCCCTGTTCGCATTTACATTAAGAAAAATGATGACTACTCTGACTTCATCTTTCTGCTCTCTACCCACAAGCTGTGCTTCATCTCCCACTCTCACAAAAAGGGTCATTCAGCGATTAACAGTCCACCTTCTTTCAAAAAATTCCAGCCTCATGGTAATCAACCTGGCTGTAGTGTAGACTTCAGAAGAACCTCTGGTATACTTACATGCAAGGGTGGAGAAAAATCAGTATTTTCAAAATAAAAGCAGATTTTTAACCTTTTAATCAAGCATCAGTTACTTGAGAACGTGGATGGGAGGGTCCTGTTGCACTAATGTCCTGCTTGAGGAATTCCTGCACGCAGTTGACTAGTCACTGTGTGAACAGAATGATGATTAGATGGACCCTTGGCTTTATCCAACATGGCTCTGGAGATCAATCCATCATCATCATGGATTAATTATATAGTTAATTATATATTTAGCTCCAGCCATCCTAAAACATAGATCCACTGGCTAGCAGAAATTAGGATGGGCAGAGATGGCCTTCCGCCAGCATAAAGGAGTTCTGCCAGTGAGAGTGTGACCACCCTACAGACCCAGTGACACCTCTGGAAAGGTGAGTGGTTGCAAACATCCTGTAGGCAGCTGGTGTTAGGTTTTGAAACAGACCATTTCAAGCACAAGGCAGAGGTGGCTGCATTGCATTCAAAGCCCCTCCAGTGCCCTGCATTGGGTTCCTCAGCTATACTAGCCTGTGCTAAAGTAGTTACTGTCCCCATTTTTTTCATGGGCTAGAGATTTTCAAAAATTACTGCCCACTACCAGGAAAAAAAAAGGTAACTAGGGCGGCATGAGTCAGCAGGACTATGGAAACAGCACAAGATCTGACACTTTGCCCACCTACAACAGCCCTCAGGATTGCAATGAAAGAAGATTTACTTCCCACTGATGGACATTAACTTCCCCAAAGTGCTGCTCTGCTCAATAACTACTATCCTTTGCTTCTGAAAATTCTGCGCACTTAATCTCCAAGTACATACTCTTGCTTGGAGTTCTTACATCTGTATAAAGAAAGCTAAACAGAAATCCTCAATGTTAATTCTTGAATTACTATACTCTTCATTAATAAGGTTCTTACAGTATATGTTTTTCAAACTGGTTATGGTTGTTTTCACTACACAGTTAATCTATTGATAGTGGAGCAACTATTCTCCATGGATCAATTAGAACACATTTGTTCTATTTGTTCAGGAAAGATTTAAGTTAGAAAGTTGAAGGCTTAGTATAGATCAGTTGCTTATATCAGCCCCTTTGCTTTGGTGGTTTAAATTTCCTTGATTTAAATCATTCTGTTGATATGAGCTAGTTGCAGTCTTCTGAAAAAGGACCCTCCTGAAACAGCTCCTCAAAGGGAAGACAACTTTCCACTTCCCAAAGAGGATTTATTCTCAACATTAAGATCTGATCTCCTCACTACCCTGAAAAACTACCTGAGTAAACCTCTGTATACCCAAGTTCATTTCCAGATTTGATATGGCAGTTATGTTAAGGGATTATATCCCTCCTCATCACATTGCTCCTGTACCTCAGCTAACCATGCTGCTATTTTGTCTGTATCTTGAGAGCACCATTCATGAGGAACAGCTTGGGGCTAAGCAGGTGATTATGCCAAATAAACTCTCTTCTTCGTTAAAATTGTCTCAGTGGAAAGGTAAAAATACAGGAAGCCAGTTTCTCTGTCATTCCTGAAAAAAATCTCATAATGCATTAGGGTTCTCATCCCAATTCTCTTACTAAAGAGAAGGCCCTGCTGGACATGGTGGGTTGGTTTGCAAGTCACAATAAGCCATCACAAATGCATTAACCTGTGGGACTCCAAGATGTGTTTCAGCTGTCATTCTGAATATGCAAGCTATAGCAGGGGTACCTGTTCTAGGATTATCCAAAGGCTGTTTAACCTTCAAATAACCCATAACAACTAGGTTTGCATAAGACCACAAAATTGCAGCCCACTGCTGGCACACATTTTGGGAGACCAAACAGGTGCAGTGGAGCTTACTCCTCAGTAACCATGCATCAGATTAAAGTGGTTACATGCATCAAAGTCCATGCCTTCCTTATCCTTGGTATGCACTCTTCTTAGGAGGCTTTAGCATCACACTTAATCCAAAGCTTTAGCTTGAAGGCACAATGATAATACTGTAGCAGAAACTTCTGGAATTGCCTCTGTGTTGTACAATTTTAGAATGCATGTATCCATATTAAGATTTTTGGATAAAAAGCAGCTCCTCTATTTAAAATTATCAACTGATCCTGAAAAATCTAGTGCAGGATAAAAGTGGCTGTGACATTAAGTGCAAGGCTGTTACTAATGCAGCCCTGACAGGCTACACATTTTGGATTAGCTTGGTATGGGTGGCCTAGTGGTAGAGAAACTACTTGCTGTAATAAGCCTCATAGCCCCAGAACAACAGCTTTCCATAGCCTTGGAAGGTTTAAGTAAAGAGGCCCTTTATCCACTAGGTGTGTTTATACTTACACTGTACTCTGATGTTTTTATAACTGGGACAACTACTGGAAATAGTCATACATTGATGTCAACACTTTATTAGTGACACTTCAGTTCTAAATCAGATTTTCCTACATCTGCAAAAATCCAGTGATTGTCCCCAACATTCCAGGACGACCAGCATTAATAGAAAGCGCAATTAGTTTCTGGATTCAGAATAACTTATTGTGCCTAAAACTCTGAGTTAGCTAATCTGTCTTCAATAATGTATCCTGCACAATTTCTCCTCCTTTGCAAGAGAATGAGAAAGGAACAGGTGTCCTCCAAAAGAATCTTGGTTAAACACTCATGAAATGTCAATAAATAAATGGTATACAAGATAAGAACATGCATGCTGAATCAGGCCAAAACCCAACTTAATCCAGAACACTGTTTCTGCAGGGGCCAAGCAAATGCCTGTGGAGAGCAGAACTCAAGCAGAACATGAGGTCACTAATTCTCTCCCAGTGATGTGCCCCAGCAATGCTGCTGAGAAGCATCCTGCCTCCAATACTGGAGCTAATATATAGTCATCATGATGGATAATCAGCTAGACCCTTATCCTCCATTAATTTCTTGAATACTTTTAAAGCTACCTAAGTTGATAAACATCACTACATCTTTTAACAGCAAATTCCATAATGTAAACTATGTGACCAGGCTTTTCCTTTTACCTGTCCTGAATCTCCCACCAATCAGCTTCACTGGATGGTCCTGGGTTCCAGTATCCAGTATTTTTACAGCTCTTTTATATCTCACTTAGTTGCTTTTTCTAAGATAAAAACCCTAATCATTATAAATGTTATTCTTTGATCCTCTGGGTTGCTCTTTTCTGGATATTCTCCAGTTCTACAATCCTTTTTTGTGGGGTACTGACCAAAGTACAGTGTGTTTCAAGTATATAAAGACATTATATTATTGGCAATTTGTTTTCAATTCCTTACTTAATGATACCTAAAAAACAACTTGCTTTTTCTCAAAGTGGTTATACACAGGGTCAATGTTCGTACTGAGGTGCCCATCACAACCCCAATAATCCTCTTCTTCTTCACTCATTGCCAGGTCAGATCCCATCAGCAAATATGGGAAGTTATTTTGTCCCAACCTGCATCACTTAATATTTGCCTAGATTGAATCTCATTTGTCAGTTTAATGCCAATTTTCTCCATTTTTGGAGAGTCCTTTTTAGAGTTCTATATTGTCCCCCACCCTTTCTCAACAAACCCTAAATGGTTTGGTGTTGGCAGCAAACTCGAACACTTCCTTGTTCATCCCTAATTCCAAATCATGCACAAACAAACTGAGTTGTTACAGCATGGGCAGAATCAGGTCTTTAAAAAGGCCATGACCACAGAGTCACAGAAAGTCATCATGTACTCAGTTACAGCAGGAAAAGGGAAACATACAATCCACAGGAAGAAACTTCAGTGTCAACACATTATTAAATGGCAGTGAAAACAGACCTGCAGAAATATCGAGAACCTTAATAACAGAAGAGGGGAAAACAGCTTACCCAAACTTCACATGGTGTGATGGAATTGTCTGTATAAATGCAGAGTTTCTGCACGGTTAAAGGCGTGGTCTCCCGCAACTTGGAGGCGAGGAGCATACAGACTGCCCCCAGAAGCTGCAAGTGGTTTTTGCGAGTGGGGACACAGGACAGGTAGCGATCCACATAATTCATGGCCAGTGGGAACACCTCTTCCTCACACTTCTGCTCCTCACATACCTGAGCAAAAAGAACAGATGCAAGGATGCTCAGAAATAACCCAGCCATCTGCCCCCATCTATGCCAGCTTCAAATGCAGGCATTTTCAAAGCATGCTGAAATTTTGGAAAAGATGAAAGAAGAGATAGAGCTTAGTGTATAAATGGGGGTTCGGTCTTTTGCACTGACACAAGCTTCTTCTGCAAACTTCATTACTGAGCAACATGTTTTATTTGTACAATGGAAATAGCTTCCTTCTTCAGTGGGGACTGAGAAAATCAGCCTACACAGTTACTCAGATATTACAATGATCAAGCCTTAGAAAAGGAATCACATACACAGCATTTCCTATCAGGCAATCTTCATGCCAAACAAGTACAGAACTGTGCTATTAATAGAATATTGTAGAACTCATTTTAACCTTTTCATTCTTCTTGAGGTAACAGTGAAACAATTTATTATTCTGTAAAATGGGCATAATAATGGATCAACTTTATAAATCTCTCTTCACATTTATTAGAAAGAATAGAATTATTCATTAGAATATTTTATATCCTGACTTTGCACCAAACTGCTAAAGTAGTACTCAAGGCTGCTAAAAGCATTCACAAAAAACCCCAGTGAAACAGTAACTGAAACAGTTAAATACCAGAGGCACTGAGCATTCTCAGATCCCATTCATTCAAATTCAGTTACATTTTTAAGGCAGAGCTCTTTTTTCAAGTCAGTTATTCACTGCTATCACACCAGAGATGTTTCAGATTTGGAATACAGAATCAGTGGTTGGTTTTGAAAATTCTGCCCCTGTGTGTCATGCACAATGAGTAAGCAGGCAACCATTCAAAATCATCTTATCCCTTTGACTACAGAACATTATGAGCCTAACCCTCAAGAACTTGTGCCAATGCAAACGCCATTGAAATGAATGGTGACTGCGCAGAGGAAACCATCAAATGATGACAATGTTAACCAAGAATCATTTGTGGAACAAAAAATAATTCCAACTTCCAGTCCCTCATCCTGACCACTGACTAGACTGGGTTACCAAGTTGCTCCCCATGCTGAATTCATGAAATCAGCTTAATAATTAAAACACATTTCTCCTTTTCAAAAACCCCATGCTTTACTAGCTTTCCTATATCCTATGAATTTCAATCTGGGCATTTTTTGCATGATTCTGCTACAACATGGCTTAAGTTCTTTGTATTAGTTTCAAAATTCAGTTTTAAATCTATATGCATTTATATCAATTAGGCCATTCAGTTAATTAATTAACAAAAGTCAGTTTTTCAAAAGAACAACTCCACCTGCTGAAAGGAAGGGAAATCAGCTCTCTTCCTCTTTATGAGAGCTTTCCACCCTGCTTTCCTGCCACAAGTGATCAGGCAAGAGCTCTTTTTATAAGCCTGAATTTATTAGCTAAAATGAATTGACAGCATAAAACACACTCTCACAGAGAGTGACCATTTAAAACAGAAAACTTGTCCAATTACCATATTAAGAACAATCCAGGAAAGGAGAAAAAATTATTTACTGGATATGTTTCTCAAAAACTTAATTTATGCACTACAAGCCAGGCATAAAGAAAAGTCTGCAAACAGCATAATGCTATGCATGCCCTCTCAGAAATAAGACCCATTAATTTCTTTTGGACTTCCTCTCAGATGTGTATAGCACTGCAGCATGGTCTAACATCAGGCAGAAACTCAAATTCTCATCAGCTGAACTCAAAGCTTGGGAAAGTTTTACCTGCTGAATTTCTACCTGGTGGGCAGATTTTTAAATGCAGTGCAGTCCACCTTGAATAAATACCCTACTACAATTTCATTTTGATGAAACTTCCAGAAAGGTTGTTTGACCTAAAAACCCAGTATTTGATTTTCATGTTCGACCTCTCCCCACATCTTCTCCATTCTTTCCCCACTCCTCTTTAAAAATAGAAATAAAAGTATTTTTGAAGGGTTTTTTGGTAATCTATTTGCTTTTTTCAGCCTGGCACTCCAAATCTGAAAATGTGCGATTGCATTAACTGGTTCCCCGATCCTGTTGCGCGGGCAGGTCTACTGACCCCCCACCCCCGATGTTACATCACACATTGCCAAGAAAAGGTGCCTGAATAAGGAACCTTTTCTTGGTGCAACACCAGTAAGGTCTTTTTCAGCGGCCCCTACACCGGGAAGGGAAAAGTGTAAGAGAGCATAGGAGGCCTCTTTTAGATCCTCAATTTCCCTCCCACGCCCACCATGACCCCCCTTCTCCCCTAGAAGACAGGCTTGCCGCAGTTCGATCCCTGCAGAAAACTTGAAAGATTCTTATTTCCCTTGCTGCCGTTCCAAAGCACTTTTTCCTAGAGAGAATGAATCCCCAGCCCCGCCCCACAACTGAGTTTAGATTCAGTTCTCCCTCCACATCAAAAGTATCCCAAGGCCTCTATTCTTTGCACACTCACCTGGGAGTAAATTCCATTGAAGTCAACAGGATTTACTTCCAAGCAAACACCCCTCTAGTTGCTGGCTACACGACGGCCGCAATCAATCATACTTACCTAGGAGTAAGCCCTATTGAAAAGCAATACGGCTTACTTCCGAGTAAACACAGTTTTGTTGAGAGAACGCCCGACGGATTTGTGATGGGGAGTAAGGAAAGGGTTGCTAGCCAGGCTCTGAGCCTGCGGAAGGAAACGGGTGGGTGAGGGAGCACAACCCTGTCCGGCACACAGACCTCCAACATCCAGAAAGCCAACATCTTCCGCATATAGGGCTGGATCTCCTTTTGCACGCACTGGAAGTAGGAGACCCGAGGGCTGCAGCGCTCTTCTTGGCTGAGCAGATTCTGCAGCACTCGCCGGTCCTTTAACAACTGCGGATCCTGCTTCGCCCGGATCACGCCCTCCATGCACAGCAGTTCCATGTGTCCAGCCGGATCCGGGGATGGAAATGAAGTAGCGGAGTGGACTGAAACAAGGGATATTTTCTGCTGGCTGCGAGCTGGAGGGGGAGGGAGAGAAGGTCGGACGGACGGAGAGGGAGGGGAGGACTCTCCGGCACTCACGCCCGGGAGTAGGCTGGATCAAGCAGCAGCAGCAGCAGCAGCAGCAGCGTCGAACCCAGCCAAGCCAGCCTCCCCTCCCCCTAGACTCCTCCGAGCTCCCGGCAGCACTGACACTAGTGAATATACAGCAGCGAAATCTTCAGAGAGGTGGAGCCGGGCCCGGATCCTCCTCCTAGGAAGGAAAGTAGGAGGTATGGCTTCGCTGCCTCTCGCGCCTGGCTGATGCCCCCTTGCAGGCCACGCGAGGCAGCTGCCGTCATTAGGGGAGGAGAAATCCTTGCCACTCCACCCTGTAAACTTTTTCGTACCAGAATGTTCTTTGCGCCAAAGGCCTTGACATGCGAGTCGGCCCTCTCCCCTCATCTCTCTCCAGGACCTCCCCTCAATCCTTATGCTGCATCCTCCAAAAAAGTAACGGGCACAGAAGACCGAGAGATGGTGCGGCGCAGCTGGCCGGCCGGCGGGCCGGCCGGCCTGCAAAGAGAAGAGGGTCAAAAAGACACGGTTGTTGCTTTGCTTTGGCATTCTAAGTGGAAACCGCAATCCTGTAGGATTGCAGGCCGCAGCATCCTTGCCAAAGGGCCCTTGACTGAAAGATCAACGTCACCCATTCTTGTTCAGAAGGATGGTGCACAGGGTTCTGCCTTGTGGATCCTGCCCAAAAAAGTGGTGTGGAATGCTTCAGTTCAAAGTTCCAGACAGTAAGATCTGCCTTCTTCCCCTAGGGTACCCCATTTCCCTTCCATGCTCTGTTGTCCCCAAACACTTAGGTTCAGGGGGTCTTCCCTTCCCTTTGAATAATGTCCATGCTTTTTTCATTCCTTGAACTCTGTTCCCTTCAGTTTATTGATACCTCCTTTCTGTGCAGGGCTAAGGCCATTTTGGCTAAATAAGCAGCTGAACTCACACCTCATCACTGGAAATAGATTAAATGAATAGGATCTAACGACAAAATGTTGCAGTGCTAGTTTGTCATCCTTCTCCATTACCTCCTACTTTTCTGACTTCCCCCCTTCAGCATTCATTCCTTGCACATTGAGCATGCTCAGTCATGATTGGCCTATTGTAGTGGGGGTGGAGAGGAGTTCAGCTCTGAGATTATTTCCTTCAATTTTTCAGAAATATTTCTGATTACCTGGGAGTTTCCCCAAGCCTCATGATACTTCTCTCTTGTGCATGAAGGGTTCCAATTTGGCTACATAAAAAGAGTCTTGCCACTCAAGAAAACTGCGAGAGCCGGTGTGGTGTGGGTTACAGTATTGGACAGGGGACCTGGGAGACCCGGGTTCTAGCCCCATTTAGCCACAAAATTCACTGAATGAATCTGGGCCTGTCATGTGCTCTCACCCCAACCTATGTCACAGGATTGTCCTGAGGATAAAAGGAGCTATGTGAGCTGCCTTAGGGTGCTCACAAGAAGAATAAGGGCAGGATATAAATGCTGTGGCAAAATAATAATAGAATCCCTGCACACTAAAAGGTTTTTTTTGGCTGTGCAGGACATATTACTATGATTACATGAACAGTTCTTTTCAATGCAATGAGAAACACATTTGGTAAATTAGTAATGGCGTCGTAACTACACTGCAGAAAAGAGATGAAGTCAGAAGATAAGTCTGTAATACCTCTATCATATATATCCAATTTGTTTGGGCTAGTCTGGAGAAACATCAAGTGAAAAATGGCCATTAAGACTGCCAACAGTGGTTAGAGAAACTTGTTCTCAGTCATATATTATGTCCTTGGCAAACAGCTGGAATCCTAAATAGGTTTATTTAGAGGCAAGATCTACTGAAATCACAAATTTACTTTCAAGCAATATATTTAAATTTGGTTTACTGCTAGGCCTTAGCTATACAAGGCTACATACAACATAGTTTTTACTATGCATTTTTCTGCACATTTTAATCATATTTTTATTAGATGAGCAACCAGAACTTTGCATCATACAATGCTCTACGCAATATTCTAAAAGTGGGTGTTCCAAAGGTTTATATAAAATATTTTATGATACTAAGGATATTATTATCAGTATTTACATTAGTACCAGTGAATGGATCCCTCTCACCATAACCAAGGTTCTCTTTCCTTGAGTAATAAGAAATGGAAATTCAACTTCAATTTCCACTCATATAAATGTAAAGTGATGTTGTCCTAATGTACCTCCTTCAGCTGGGTTGAGTATCGCTAACACAGAAGAATCAACACACCATGCAGAATCGTCAGAATCCTGGAATAAATACCAGTTCAATTGCATATACATGCATCCACTATGTGTATTCACCCCGCAACACAAGCATATAGGAATTATACTAAACCAAGTTGGCAAGGGCCTGAGCAGTCCAAGCTTCTTCAAATCATTCACAGCCCCTCTCTCTCTTAGCCCACCCCTTTAGGCTGAACCAATATTTCACTTAAGCTGAATCTTATTTATTATATATGTTCCTCACATGTTGGCCATGAAATAAGAAAAAGATCCATTCTGTTCACACAGTAGCCAACCAGATGTCGTCTGAAAATCCATGAGCAGGATGTCAGTGTGACAGTAGCTTTGGACAATGTTCCCCAGTACCCAGTGTGCATAGGCAGACTTCTCTGATATGAAAGGCAGCATATAGCCATCAGGATTAGTAGCCGTCAATATCCTTCTCCATTAATTTGTCCAATTCTCTTGTCCAAATTGGTGACCATCACTACTTCTTGTGACAATGAATTAACTATGTGCTAAGGTCTTTTTTTTTTTTTTTTTGCCTTTTGGTACTGTCCATGGGGTTTAAAGGCCAGATACTGAAGATGAAACTCAAATACTTTGGCCACCTAATGAGAAGGAAGGACTCACTGGAGAAGACCCTAATGCTGGGAACAATTAACGGCAAAAGAAGCAGGGGACGGCAGAGAATGAGGTGGCTAGAGGGAGTCACTGGTGTGAGCTTAAGTGGACTCTGGAGGATGGTGAAAGACAGGAAGGCCTGGAGGAATAGTGTCCATGGTGTCGCCATGGGTCGGACGCGACTTCGCAACTAACAACAATGTTCTTTTTTTCTGTCACGAATCTTCCATCACTCAGTTTCAAGTTCCAATGTCATGAAAAAAGGAGGAAAAGGTCTCCTTATCTACTTTCTATATGCCATGCATTATTTCACACACCTCTATCACACCTCTGCAATTTAAAATCAGAACGGAGATTGCCGATGGAATTGGTATCTGCAAGTGCTAGGTATAATATGATAGCTGCAACACCTACCAATTATTTTAGTTTACAGTCTGAGCTTAGAAGCTGAGCCTAAACTGCAGACCTCATGAGCACAACATCTGAGCTAGTTTCAGGAAATTTGTTTCATCCCCTGCTTTTTACATTATCTAGCCTGAAGAACTGAAATGTTTGCACAATGTTTTGTGGCATTTTGGCTAGCCCCAACAAAGTTATTGTCCAAAGGCAGATTTTGGATTTTTAAAACTATCCATATAAAAAAAACATTCCAAATAATATTGACACTCAACAAATTCTGGAAGCTGGTTGGAATGGGGTTTTCTTTTTCAATAGTCATGTGGATTCTCCCTTCCCTAGGTTTGTTCAGAGGTGGAGAACCACTGTCAGCTGGAGGGTTGAATTAAATTTCAGAAAAGTTCTCCCTATTGGAGAGAGGAGGCAAAGATAAAAGTGGTGAGACCGAAAATGCAAAAAACTTCCCCAGCACATTTTAGCTTAAATCTCTCACTGCCAGGAAACAATCCTTAGTCATTTCATCCTTTCAGAATGGGGAAAGAACTGCACAAAGGTGAGAAACTATCCAAGATCAGTGGCTGGGAAGAGAGGGGTGGGATCAGATAAAGGAGATCTGGCCATCTAGGGAGCTGCATTCTATCTTTAATAATGCTTTCCATGTTAAGCATGAGATTTCCTTGCTTCCTCATATTTCTTTTTTTAAATAATGGTGTTATTACATTGTTCACCCCCCCCAGTCTTTTGATAACAAGACCAATTTTAATGATATTGCATATTTTTTCCAGGAATCAGCATTTTTTATTTGAAGTGTTTTAGAAAAGTGATGAAGAAATGCATCTAGAGCCCTGAATAAGATCAGTATGTTATCTCAATGTTATCTCAATGAGGAGCATTGCTCCTCTCTAAACCTAACTCTACTGCAGAATGCACACACTTTTCAGACCTCTTATTCTGCTGTGAATGTGGAAGAAAATAATTTTGGAGTTAGCCAAACTCCAAAGTGCAATTCAAAGCAACATTAATTATTTAAAATCACACCTTTGGTTCAGTCATACCATTACCTAATCAACAAGTGGGTTTTTCACATTAAAAGGTTATTTTAACTGGGAATTGTATTAGCAGGCAAAATTAAGGTACAAAGAGGAAATGTAGAGAGAGTTCAATAGATGGCAAAAGAAGAAGGGGACGGCAGAGGATGAGGTGGCTGGATGGAGTCACTGAAGCAGTTGGTCTGAGCTTGAGTGAACTCTGAGGGATAGTGGAGGACAGGAAGGCCTGGAGGAATGTTGTCCATCGGGTCGTGATGGGTCGGACATGACTTCACGACTAACAACAACAACAGAGGGAGTTCAGCGTCAGGCATATATATATATATATATATATATGTAAGAGTCACTCATCCCAGTTGCTTGTAATAAGAATAAATCCAGGTGTTTTTTCCCATTGCATTGCAAATGATTTACTATAGGTATCCATGCAGACTGTTAATAGTAACTTCTATGGCTTTACTATTTGAGGAGCGTTGGTGTAATGGGCAGTCTCATCTATGCAGACTCTACTTCATTACTAGAATCTCAAGATCCATCAAGAGCCTGGTGCAAAAGGCACTTCAGATTTTAAACCCAGAAATCTGAGTACAAGAATAAAATGGAGCTCACTGTCCTGCCATGCTAAAATCCTTTCCTGGTTACTCCTAAACTTTCTTCATTTCAACAGTAAAATTTAGAGTGAGGAAACATTTTGCTTCTCCTCTTGTTATATGACAGGGAATGAGAAGTTCTTGGATGTAATGGAGTAGATAAGAATTTAAGCCTGCAGGCAAAAAGACCCCAGGCTTAAATATTTCCTCAGTCTTGAACTTGCCTTAGGCAAGC